GACTAAAACTAAGGAACTACTTTAACAACTTAATCTAAATCTACTCTAACAACTTGATAAGAATTAATAACAAACTAGTGAGTATGTCAACACATCATACTGAAATATTTCTATCAAATGAATTTCAAAAGTAATATTCAAACAATTTTAATTATGCATCTTTTTTAATATATCAAGTATTCAACTTGATAAAAAAAAATTTAATATGTCACAACACATAATTTAAGTGTCGTTTATTGGTTCAAAATATGTCATGTTCTAAAATTTTTGCCTTCTTTCTAAGAAACTATAGCATCCACCTTTTTACAATCACATACATGTCAAGAAGTTTTTATAATGTGAATTGTGTTTTGTAAAAATTGCACATAAATTCGATCAATACATCCCTTTCATGACAAATTAATTTATGATTATTATTTAATATTTAATTAATAAAATATTTTATAACCTTTTTATTTAGTATAGGGGTAAAATGGTAATCCAACTTTAAATTTTTGAGCTTTCTACTTTTAATAATTGTTTATCATTATTATTATTTATTAGTTATTTATGATCATAAGATGATAAGTTAGGAAAATGAAAGAGGCGTAGTTATGAAGTTGATTTTAAATTGAAAAATATTTTTTTAAAATGATTTTAAGAAAATAAATTAATAGGTAAGGGGTATTTTCGTAATTCAACTTTTGACTTGGATTGTTCCCACTTGTAATAATACTAGTATCTGGGCACTTGTGTTGCACGTGTACTCTATAACGATGAATATGAATTATTAAAAATCACATAATTTCTTTTAAATTACAAAAAAAATATGAAAAGTAAAATAATAAATGTTTATAGTGTATAGTTAACTCATAAGAAGAAACTCTTTTGCATTTAGTCCTTCCCTTAATATGATTTCGATATATAAATTTTATATTTGTTTTAAAAGACAAAATAAAGTAGCAAAACAAACATAGAGGCACACTACCTTATGATTAACTTCCTTAAAATGTCTCTTTTGTCTCATAGAATAGAGTAAAAATGTTAAAATTAAATTAATAGTTATTTCAAGAAGAAAAAATGTTTTAACATTAATTAGTAGAAGATGAAATTCTCCTTCTCATTAAGTAGAATGCAATTAAGTAATTCAAATTTATAACTAAGAAAACTTAATTAGAAGGAAATAACTAAAGAATTAAAGTGCAACAATTGGTATTTAAATTTTGTCATTATATAATTAAAATATTAATATTTAATTAAATAAATCAGATTTTAATTTAGTTGAGAGCCAAAATGACAATATTAATATTTTTACAATTAAAAGTTTGTTAAAATATGTTTTACATTTTTTTGTTAAAAATATAATAGGAGCAATATTTGGTCAGAGGTTAAAAGATCTTCTAACTTCTTAAGCATTTTGGTGTAGCATTTTTTTTTACTTTGAAATTTGGATCTCATGATAATTTTAATAAAAATTGTTTGAAAAAATATAGATTTTATCCACATGAACATATAAGAATAATTCTTTATAAATATTTAACACTAAAGGTGGAAAAAATGTATTATTAATTATTTGAAATTAGAATATCTTGTAGGCGTTAATTGTCTTTTTTACATGCCTTATAGACTATTATGATGATCCTATTCGTTTTATTTTTCTATACGAAAAATACAACCTTGAATCATATACATTCTTTAAAAAATTACAAATACATCAAGCTCCGATATTCTAGCAATTGAAGTGTTATTCATTCCTATAATCACATTATACCTTACTATTTTGACACAAATTCTCTTGTCTTGAAAATTTCTTCACTTGATTAAACCTTCTCTAGTCTTCCACACACAAAAAATTTATCACATATAAATCTTTGGAATATGAAGATTCACTTACAAAGTTGAAACATTTGTATTTATAGGAAAAAATATAGCTTTGGAATATGAAGATTCACTTACAAAGTTGAAAGGTCAAGAGTTACAACAAATTAAAGACAAATATTAATTAAGAACATAACTTAATTTGAAAGATGAAACACGTACATGTATCTATTTAATTTACATAATTCAAATACAACTCTTTGACTTTTCTGAGGCACGACATACTAATTACTTAAGTGAACTTGATTCGGATTTCAAAAGATACACGTTTTCATGAGTTCAAATACTACTATATTAAGTTATTTATATTAACTAAGAAAAGTGGAAAAGGCTTAGTTGATTTTCTTTTAGAATAAATGTAATACTTTTTTATGATTATTTTTATTTTTTAAGTTTTGACTCAATAGCTCCTCACTTTTAAAATTTATGATGATAATAATAATAATAGTATAATATAATATAAATAATTAATAAAAGGTAAGATGAAAAGTGAAAAGGCTACTATTACTATATAGGATAAGATAAAAAGACTACATGTAGAAGATTAAAAAATCTTTCAATTAAGTAGTAGGCTAACATTAAAACATACAATTATTATATTTAATAGGAGGAATTTACTTTATAACAAATGATTCTTATTTTTTTATTTAATTAAGTATATATTTTATTATATTTTAATTTGGTGTAGGGGTAAAATGGTATTTCAACTTTTAACTTTGTGGCTTCCCACTTTTAGTATAACTAGTTTTAATGCACGTGTGTTGCACGTGAATGTAAACCATGTACTACACTATTTTTAAAAATAATTTAATATTATTAAATAAAAAAATTAAGTAAACAATTATAAAATGAATGATAAATTATAAGTTCATATTAATAGTGGATACAAATTTTTTTATGATTACTACATGAAAGTTAGTCACTCTTAAAATCTCTTAGTTATATATACTTTCTCCTCCCTCCCCCATGGTGCATTACTTAGTTATTACTGTATTGTTGGAGTTCTTACTTTTAATATAATATAATAATATAAATAAATATTGATATAAAATATAGAAGATATACGAAATAGGATGTTTTTTGTTGGAGTATTATTTTAATTTAACATTCATGTTAGGGAGAGTTCAAATTTCACTGAACTTTGAGAATGTCAACGTATGTAAATCAAACTTGAGTTTTTAAGAAGATTAGAATAGAAAACATAAAAAAAAATCGTATTTTTAAAATGTGAGGAAACTCCTCCATTTATAGTTATCAAAGGGTAGTATGAGCATGTGCATATTTCTTATCATATAAAGTTATAACCCTTCGGAAAGGTCACAACTCATCGGAAAAGTCACATCTTTTTGAAAAAGTCGTAACGATTCAATGTGAAAAGGTGTCGACTTTAAATATAAATGTTTTATGAAGAAGAAGAAGAAAAAGAAAAAGAAGAACACTGAAAAACTTTTAAAATTGTAGTTTAAAAATTTGAGGAAACCCCTCTTTTTATATTCAATAAACTGTTGTGTATGAAAAAATGTGTATTGTGCCTTATAAAAGAAAAGTCGCAACCCTTCAAAAAGGTCACAACTCATCGGAAAAGTCATAACTCTTTGAAAAAGTCACAATCCTTCGGAAAAGTCACAACTCTTCAGAAAAGTCGCAACCCTGTAGAAAAGTCACAACCCTTCGTAAAGGTCACAACTCATCAAAAAAGTTGTAACTCTTTTGAAATGTCACAACCCTTCAATGTGAAAAGGTGTCTAGTTATAATATAATATAAATAAATAAATATAATACAACATAAAATTTAGAAGATATATTAAATTTTGTTTTTTAAGTTGGGGTTTTATAATAATTTAACATTTATTAAATTTTGTGTTTTAAGTTGGGGTGTTATAACAATTTAACATTTAAGGTAGATAGTTCCTTCTTTTAAGGTAGTATAGATATATATCAAAAAGAAAGATACAAATTTGTCTGATTTTGATTTGATAGGAAATTTTAAAAAATAAAGAAGACTTTTAATTTAAGGAATGTAGAATATATAAAAATGTCTTTTAACATTGTGGTTTTAAAGATGCTCCCCCACACCCACCCAAGAAAAAAAAGAACATTCTATATTAAACTGAATAAAAATAAAAGTACAACAAATAAATTGAAAATGGAGGAGTACTTATTACTTCTAGTTTGGACTCTTCAAACATGTATTTGATCAAATCCTTTTTCCCCAACAATTTGAGACTTTTCACAGCTTGAACACCAAGTTGTAGTTTGTGCAATAGAAAATCATTGAACTTCTTGTCATGTAGAAGTTGCTGAAAAAGTATATTTATTGCTATGAAAATGAATACATTTTAATTATCTAGATAGTCTTCTCATTTGAAGTTGAGTTATTCCATTCTCCTTTTCGCATAAATTTTTGTTGATCTATCTTATTTACCCACAAAAATATTGTAATTGCATAATTGAACAACTCTCACAATCTCTCTTGTTATAAGAAGAAGAATACAAAACTTACAAAATTGTAGTTTAAAAGTGGGAGTAAAATTCCTGTATTTATAGACAACAAACTATAGTATGAAAATGTATTTATTGTGCCTTATCAGATAAGTGGCAACCCTTCAAAAAAATCACAATTTTTCAGAAATGTCATAACTCATCGAAAAAGTCACAACCATTCAGAAAAGTCACTACTCATCAATGTGAAAAGGTGTCAGCTTTTAATATAATTAAGAACAAATAAATAAATATATAATAAAATATAGAATATATACTTAATTGAGTGTTTTAAGTTGGGAGTATTATAGTAATTTAATATTCAAGTTAGGGAGTTCATGCTTTTAATGTAGTATAAATAAAAGATATGATATGAGATATGATGATTATATTAAATTTAATTCTTGTTTGATTTCCTTCTAGAATCTTCCATTTTAATTTGTTTTAGTTCCAAATATTTTTATCTTCCCACCAATTTAATTCTACAAATAAAATATACTATTAAGCACGATCCATAAAATTCATGCTAAAAAAGACAAATACAAATAATAAATGTGAGATAAATAATAATTAAAAATATGTATTTTTGACGACCTCACATCATATTACTTGCAGTATTGGATTTATGAAGAATTAGAGGAAACTGAAAAAGTGGCAAGTAGATGGCTCAAAAGTGTCGCGCAGTGATAGGTGCCATAGACTTTCTGAAGGGAAGACATCTCGATATTAATCAATTGGACGATGCTAGAACTCGACTAGTATGTCTATCTCAATTTCTGGCAAAACTGGAGGAGGTTCAGCCTGAGAATACAATATCCACACAACTAGGGGCCTTATTTCAACAAGCTCGTGATGGTTTTTCTGAGATATGTAATCCCATGACTAAAAGTTACACAAAGGCGCTGAAAATAATTAAACTGGAAGCTTCAAAGCCATCAATATCAACTAGAAAAATGATATTAGAGGTGCTGAAAAAACTTAGGCCCTGGGGTATTTGTAGACGAATCAGAAAATCAAATCCATCAACGTCATCTAGACAAATAATTACTATGGAGATGGTGACGTTTGTCAATATTTTGCTTGATTATGTACAGGATCGTACCCCTGAGTTTTCCAATTATCTGCGACCTCTACAAGCCATCTTCACATTAACTGCAAGTTGGTGCATTGAGCATGAGAATATGCGGTATTTCTTCATCCATGTTGAGAATCTAGCTTATACTGCACTAGAACTATGTGTCCTAACGACGCACCCCCATTATGTGAACTCTGAGTGGCAGGAATCGATAAGTGTTTTCGATTATCATTTTGGGCAGATAGATAAGAGCCTCTTGACAGCGTTAAAGTCATCAAGATCAGAGACTACATTGAAGTCTGGATGTATGGTTGATTGTGTTAATGCTCTACGAGAGGATCTGGAGGTGCATCCAAGCCATGTTAGAATTCAGTCGCTCGAAGAAGGACTTCTTAACATTTCTAAATTTCTTCTCGAATATACAGGCACTCAACTCAGAATATTCAGTTCTCTTCAGTCACTTATTGAAGTTCTGGTCTTTGAGGCAGCATTTCTGATCAACTCCTATGATGAGGATCTTGTTTTTGTTTTGAAGCCGAGGCTTAGTCATGTCAATGTAGTAATCGAACTGATTCAACTACGTAACAGTCAAGCAATCATGACAGATCTGATTGACTATGCTTTGGAAGAGCTGATAGTCGTGACAACTTTTCTCATGGATTCATTAGAGCAGTGCAAACAGCAACCTAAGATAACTGATCTTTTAACTCTTATCCAATCTGTGACTAACGAAGCATGTTCAGCTATTAAAAATCTTTTATATAATACAAGACAAGAAGACTTGGTCTGGGAAATGAATCGCTCACATTTTCAATTGCTTCTTAAGTTCAACTTTATTAAGGCAGCAATTAGACAGATGTGTTCCACCATTTGTGCTTCATCAACTGAGATACATCTGCTGAACTTTCTTCCTATTAATTTTGAGGTCATTGGTTCTTACTTAAATTCCTCAAAGAAATCAGCCTCTGGTCACGACAACATGGATTTAGTTATGATGGGGTTTCATGAATATATTATTGACAATCTGCTACTGAAGCTTGAAACTGATTTGTCATTTACATCAGATGATGTTAAAAAGTTCTACGATGGATTGTTGCTCCTGTTAACATATCTTCTTGATCCTCTATCTCAGTGCAGTGGATTTGGAACTACTGCAATTGAGGCCGAATCTGTGAATAGCAACAAAAGTAGGAAGGGCAATCTAGTTCTTCAGTTTTTGACTGAGGCTTTCAAGCTTATCGAATGTGAGAGAAGCTTTATGGATCTACTGAAGCACAAAGACACTTTGGAAGCTCACACTCTAGATATGATTGAAAGTTCTCATGAAGACCTTATTTATCTTAGAGTTCTTCTCATAGGTGTTCTCAGCCAAAACACAGTCCTTAATGAATTCCATGATGTCTTAATGCATGCTAAAGTGACTGCCAACAAGATGACACAAATCATCAAGGGAAGAAGCATTGAGAAAATTGGGCATTTATTATCTGACATTGAGTCTGTCAATGTAGAGGTCAGAAAAGTATGCTTTCAATTTCTTGATGCATCACCTTACAACATGACAGATGGGGAAGGCCTTATTAGATTCTTATCGAAACACCAGGACTGGCTGCTCAACTTTGATGCTTGTTCAATTCCTTTTCTGAAGAACCAGATCCCAGTAATCAAAGACAAACTATTTTATTTGGGTTCTTTTATTGCAGATATTGTACAGCATCGCAAGATGCATCAAGAGCTCAAAGATCTTGTGAAACATGTTCAACATATAAAGTTTGTCTGTCTCTTTCCCATCAGGGATAATGCACCTTCTTGGTGTTACAGGCAATATCTCTCTGATGTCAAGCAATTGCTTAAGTTTGTCGAGACAAAGGTCGAAGCGATTTGTCTCAAAGTTCCAGATTCTTCAAGTCATAGCTTCCCCAAGATAAATGAACTAGGATCACTCTATTGTTTCTTGGGAAAATTGGATGAGATGCTAAGTTCTAAGATCGATTCAGTTATCGACTTAAAACTTCAAATTGGGTCAGTGAAGGAGGGTTTATTGTGTCTAAGAACATTGACTGATCATTTCCCAGAAATCAACGATGAGCATGATGAAGTTTATAGTCTTATAACAAGAGTTACTGCAATGGCATACGAGGCAGAGTATGTCATAGACTCGTGCTTGACCTATTCTTATCCACTCTGGTACAAAGTTCTTTGGATTTCTGAAGCTGTTGAGAATATTAAGCTTGTAAATGAAGTTGTTAGAGAAACATGTGAAAGAAAGAAGATAGACGTGATGGTGCACAAAGTTAAAAAGACCTCAACGAATCTTGTGCCGTCTTTATCAGCTAATAGTGAAGGATCAAATGAAGAAATGGAGAGTTTCCAGGAGGCGATGGACCAAATGAAGAAGCAGCTACTCCAAGGTTCACGTCAGCTAGATGTAATCTCATTGGTCGGCATGCCGGGAATCGGTAAGACTACTCTTGCCGAGAAGATTTACAATGATCCAGTAATCACCTCTTGGTTTGATGTCCGTGCTCAGTGTCGCATGACTCAAGCATATTCATGGAGAGGTTTGTTGCTCTCCATTTTGAGTGGTGTGCTTGAGCCTATTGATCGCAATGAAAAGGAAGATGGCGAATTAGCTAAGGAGCTGCGTCAATTCTTGTTGACCAAGAGATTCTTAATTCTCATTGACGATGTGTGGGATGATAAAGTGTGGGACAATATACATATGTGCTTCAAAGATGCTCGGAATGGGAGTAGAATTATTCTAACAACACGTCTGAGTAGCGTTGCCAATTATGCTAAATGTGAAAGTGAACCTCATCATCTTCGCTTGTTCAGAGATGATGAGAGTTGGACATTATTACAGCAAGAGCTGTTTCAAGGGAAGAGTTGTCCGCCTGAAATTGTTGATGTGGGGTTTCGAATAGCAAAAATATGTGGAGGGTTGCCTCTCTTCATTGTATTAGTTGCTGGTGTTCTCAAAGAGAAAAAGCTAATAAAAGCAGAATTGTGGAAGGAAATAGAAGAAAGTCTATGTTTGCTGAATATTGATAGCTTGGAAGAGAGCATGTCTATAATTGGATTTAGTTACAGGAATTTACCACAACAGCTGAAGCCTTGTTTTCTCTATTTTGGAGGACTTTTAAAGGGGAAGGATATTCATGTCTCAAAATTGACTCGGTTATGGGTAGCTGAGGGTTTTGTACAAGCAAATGATGAAAAAGGACTAGAAGATGCTGCAGAATGTCTCTTGGAAGATCTTATTAGTAGAAATTTAGTCATGGGCGTGGAGAAGAGACCCAATGGAAAGCTCAAAACATGTCGTGTTCATGATCTGTTGCATAAGTTCTGCTTGGAGAAGTCCAAACAGGAGAATTTCCTTCTTCATATCAATGGGTATAAAGAACTATACTGATTTTATCGTGTTATTGTTTATATCAACTCTCATTTTCATTATTTTTTCTTTGAACAGATTCACTGGAGAGGATTCATTTCCTGAAATGTCTATGGATTACCGGTTGTTTGTTCATTCTTCTGAGGATCAGATTGATCTGTGGCAGCCATCTCGCTCAAATGTTCGCTCTTTGCTTTTCAATGTGATTGATTCAGATAACTTGTTATGGCCGCATGACATCTCTTTCATCTTTGACAGCTTCAAACTTGTTAAGGTGTTGGATTTGGAATCTGTCAACATTGGTGGTACTTTTCCTAGTGAAATACAATTTCTAATTCATTTGAAGTATTTTGCTGCTAAAACTGGTGGAAATTCAATTCCTTCATGTATAGCTAATCTTTGGAATCTCGAAACTTTTGTGATAAGAGGATTGGGAGGAGAGGTGATACTACCTAGTTCACTTCTAAAGATGGTTAAAATAAGGAATATACATGTAACTCATCGTGCTTCATTTAGTTTGCATGAGAATATGGGTGAATCACTTGCGGACTCTCAATTAGATAATTTGGAAACCTTTTCCACTCCACATTTCTCTTACGGTGAAGATACAGATATGATATTGAGAAAGATGCCAAAATTGAGAAAGCTGAGTTGCATATTTTCGGGGACATTTGGCTATTCAGAGAAAGTGAAGGGAAGGTGTATTCTCTATCCCAGATTAGAGTTTCTATGTCAGCTTGAATCCCTTAAGGTTGTCTCCAACAGCTATCCAGGTAAACTTCCACATGTCTTCAGTTTTCCCTCAAGACTTAGGGAATTGACTCTGTCAAAGTTTCGTCTACCATGGAGCCAAATCTTGAGTATTGGAGAACTTCCTAACTTGAAGATTCTAAAGTTACTTCTCAGAACCTTTGAAGGGGATGAATGGGAAGTGAAAGATTCAGAGTTCCGTGAACTCAAATACTTAGAATTGGAGAACCTCAACATTGCACAGTGGTCTGTCTCCGAGGATGCTTTCCCTATTCTTGAACGTTTGGTTTTAACCAAATGTAAGCGGCTTAAGAAAATCCCTTCTCATTTTGACGACGCTGTATCATTAAAAAGCATTGAAGTAAACTGGTGCAGCTTGGGTGTTGCTAATTCAGCCAAGGAAATTCAAGCGTTTCAGCATGATGAAATAGCAAATGATGCATTCAAAGTTACTATACAGCCGCCAGATTGGGATAGAAATTCATCTCCTTGACTCGTTATCTGGTATGTTCTTATTATTACTTATTCCAATTACCTGCTCTTAGTGAAAAGAATGGGAAAAAAAAGAAGTTTATATGTGTGCTATATCCTTGAATCTGACTTCCCTTTCTCAATGAATTTTTCATTCAGGCTTGAAAACAGAAGATGGAGGAAGACCTCAGCTAGGTGGATTTTCTGTTGAAGGATCTTCAGCAATAAGTGAAGTTTTCGAATAAATTTCAACTTAGTGATTTGTGTAACTTGTAATGAATTTATGAGCAAGAGCTCACGTCCTTACTCTAAAGTCTAAACTATTGGAAATGTGAAATTATTGTTATCAGTGTGCTACATTCTTTTTAGATCAGTATCTTGAAAAATTGTCGTTATCAGTGTACTAAATTTCTTGAACTTGTAGAATTGTGGGATTTACTATGCATAATCCTTATTTAATGTCTTCCTAATTTCAGTCTTGGAGGCTGGAGCAAATGAAGGGAGAACATATTTTCTTTCATGAGCCATTAGCCTATAATGGGAATACAATATATTTGATCTGTTCAACAATGACGACTTATATCAAAGTGAAATTAACAACTTGAAATAATTTTTCCATTGAAATTTTCATGAAAAGACTTGTACATTCTGGTTATCTTATTTTAGCAATTGTTCTAACGTTAGCAACCCTCATTCTACATAATCTTAGAATACATCTCATTCTGAATGAAAAAGCAAAGCTTATATCAGAGAAGCAAAGTTCTCAAGAGCATCAAACTCGTATGTGTTGTATACTCGAACAGGAAAGGGATGACAAGATTAGGCAATGACATCATTTCCTTCAAGATTGGGAAATCCATATCGGGCAACCCTTAGGACCAACTACATATCTTATTAGATAACATTGGGGATAGAGCCATACTTTTATAAAACTAATTATCTTAAGTCGCTTGAAATTAAAGAAGCTCGATGAAAAATTGGGTGTCAACACCATGCCCTTAGACACTTTAGCAAATCAAACTCAAATGATGAAGTGGGCACTATATATGCTTTAGTGCTTACAGATGCACAGCTTAATTGCCACTGCAAATGCACAGCGTCATTTCTACATCACTCAGTGTCCAACAATGGGGTGCAGAAGCAATGATCAATATATACAAGAAGTATTTAACTTATTTTCTAAACAACCATCTAGTGACTAGCAACAAATACATAAATCCCAGTATTTTAGATCTGCGATCTAACTTTTGTAACTCAAAGTTCTAACTAAGAACTAGCAAGTCGATCTTCACTCTTTCTAGACTTATATTCTCTTTTTTCTCCAATAATTTTTCTCTTTTCGTTATTATCAACAAATATATTCAATTTAGCCTGAAACTTTGGTTATTGGAGATGTTTTCTTATATGTTCTTGATGAACTGTGCTTGTACAAAGATATAGTTGGAACAATCATTAGAATTATTGATACTAGCATTTTCCACAGAAAAAGGAAATCTTGTGTTCCAATAGAAGCAAAGGTGACCCTAATTTGTTGCTTTGTTCTGTTCATAAAATAAATTGAAGACAATTGAATATTAATTAGAAAATTTGAACTATTGTAATCAAATTCAATAAATGGCAATTATCGATTTTATCTGTTTTTACAGAGCCATAAGAATACTATATATTCTTGAAAGTGTGCTAAATAAATACACATGAAATAGTCCAGCTAAGCTTCCTCATGTGTTCAATTTCCGCTCAAAACTAAGGGAAATGACTTGTCCTAGTTTCGTCTACCCAGGTCCGAAATTTCTATAGTTGGAGAATTGCCTAACTTGGAGATTCTAAGGTTGCTTTCCAGAGCCTTCAAAGGGAATCAATGGGAAGTGAATGATTCAGAGTTTCCTGAACTCAAATACTTAAATTTGGACAACATCAATATTTCACAGTGGTCCGTCTCTGATGATGCTTTTCCTAAGCTTGAACGTTTGGTTTTAACCAAGTGTAAGCAGCTTGAGGAAATCCCTTCTCATTTTGGTGATGCCATAACTCTGAAAAGCATTTTAGTAATTAAACAGGTGTGGCTAGTCTGTTGCCAATTCAGCCTTGGAAATTCAAACTACGCAACATGAAGACATGGCAAATGATGCTCTCACAGTTACAATACAGCCTCCAGATTGGGCTAGAGGACCATCTGCTTGACTCATTTCTGGTACACTCTTGCGGTATTCACCTAGTTACATTTCCATATCTCTAAATTTAATATGCGTATTTTCTAATGTTATACTTATAACTAAAGAGGTTATATGCTATATACGTGAATCTGTGTGCTAAAACTGAACTTTTGATGATGGGTCAGTTCCCTTTTTCTCATAATTTTGGGAAGAGTACTGCTGTCAGTTTTTGAAGTGTTTGATATACCATTCGATATCTATTTCTTGAAGATATGTGACTATTTGGAAGTTTCTATTATTCATCTCTAAATAAAGCTAGTAGAGGGATGCAAAGATATCCTTTTCTGTTGGATTTTGTATATTTTGATGATTGACAAAGTGATGGAATAAGTTCATGAAACAGGTAGATGATACATGTTTTAGCATCCATAGTCCAACTTGTGTAGATGATACATGTTTTAGCATCCAGAGTCCAACTCGACTATATATCTGAATAAAAGGAGTCTTAAGTAGAAAAGAGCACGAGTCTGTACATGTAAAGACACCTGAGCTACTTAGCAATGTTCATCAAAGTCCGTGCATTCGTCTTCAACAAGGACTTTCACACCTTTCTAGATTTCTCTGGGACGTAAAATCAGATCCATTTCCACTTGGAGAATTGATTTCTCTTCAATCACAGATGCAAGCTGTGGCCATTGAGGCAGTGATAGCAATCTACTCCTCCTATGATGAGAAAATGAAATGAATACTACTGGCCATCTGCCTTTTATTTTGCAACTGAAGTTAAATCATGTCAAGGTAGAAAGTCTCCCTGATTAAGCTACTGAACATAATAGCTCCTCTAAAATATCTGATTGATTATGTTAGGGAAGAGCTGATATTAATGAAAACTTGTTTCATGGATGCATTTGAGCAAAGTAACGTCACTGAATTCTTGAATCTTATTCAATCTGTAACTAGCCAAGCATGGTTGGTCATTTATTCTCTTTATCGTGACATAAAGAAAGAAGGCTTAGCCAGGGAAATTGGTTGGTCGCATTTTCAGTTGCTTCTTAAGTTCAAGTTTATTAAGGCAGTGATTGGACAGATATGTCCCAGCATTTACGTGTCATCAACACTGGACCATCTTAAGGATAAATCTATTGAACTTTCTTCCTCTCAACTTTAAGGTCCTTGATTCTTATTTCAGCATGCTGAAATTCTCAACCATAGTATCCTCCGATAGCCCCAAGATGGATTTGGTTTTGATGGGGTTTCATGTATATATTCTTGACAAGCTGCAACTGAAGAATGAAACCAGTTTGACATTTACTAATACAAATGAGGTTAAAAAGTTTTACTATGGATTGTTGCTCCTGGTAACATATCTTTTTGATCCTCTAGTTCAGTGTAGTGGATTTGGAACTATCGAAATTGAGGCTGCTGGTGATAGTAACAAAAGTAGAAGGGTCAATCTTGTTCTTCAGTATTTGACTGTAGAGCTTTAAAGCTTATTGAGCCTGAGGAAACCTTGATGGATATGCTAAACAAGGCCACATTGAAAGCTCCAATTCTGGATATGGTTGAAAGTGCTCATGAAGAGCTTATTTTCCTCAGAGCTTTTCTCATGGATGTTCTCAGGCAACAGATGAAGCTTAACAAATATCATTATCTTTTGAGGAATGTTGAGGAGACTGCCAACAAGTTAGCAAAGTCAATCGTTTTCGTAATGAAAGATTCATGGACGAAAACAGCACCTGGGAAGTGTGTCTTTTGTTGTCTGATTTCCTATATGATATTAAGTTTATCAAGGTAGAAATTAGAAAGGTATGCATTCAGGTCTTGGATGCATCACTTTGCAACATGACTTTGCCACATATCGAAGGCCTTATAAACTTTTTATCAAACCGCCTGGACATAGTGCTTGACTGTGATGCTGGTTCGATTTCTTTTCTGATGAACCGAAGTAGAGTACTCAAAGAGGAACTTATGTACTTGGGATACTTTGTTGCTGATGTTGTACAACACTACAATATGCATCAAGGGCTCAAAGACCTCATGAAACATGTTCTAGATACCAAGTATGTCTGTTTATTGTCTATTGGGGGTTATAAATCTGCTTGGTATTACATGTTATATCTCTCCGATATGAAGCAATTGCTGAAGTTTATTGAGACAGAGGTCAAAACAATTATTCCTAATGCTCCAGAGGCATCAAGTTATAGCTTCCCCAAGACAAATGGATTAGGATTTCTTCAATTCTTCCTAGGGAACTTGGAGGAGCTGTTATGCTCTAAGCTCGATTCCGTTATTGACTGGAATCATCAGATTGGATCAGTCAAGGAAGGCATACTGGAATCATCTTCGTTTATGAAAGTTGGACATTATTACAAGAAGAGGTGTTTCAAGGGGAGAGCTGTCCACCTGAACTTGTAGATGTGGGGTTTCGAATAGCAAAAAAATGTGTAGGGTTGTCTCAATCCTCCTGAAATTGTTGTATTAGTTGCTGGTGTTCTCAAAGATAAAAGCAGAATTGTTGAAGGAAATAGAAGAAAGTCTAGGTTTGCTGAATATTGGTGAGAGCATGTCTATAACCGGATTTAGTTACACGAATTTACCGCACCAGCTTAAGCCTTGTTTTCTCTATTTTAAAGGGAAAGGTGATACTACCTATTTCAATTCTAAAGATGAGGAATATACGTGCTGCTTCATTTAGTTTGCATGAGAACATGGGTGAATCACTTGCCGACTCTCAATTAGATAATTTGGAAACCTTTTCCACTCCATGCCTCTCTTACAATGCAGTGAAGATACAGAGATGATATTGAGAAAGTTGCTGGACATTTAGTTATTCAGAGAATGTGTGTTCTCTTTCCCATATTGGAGTTTCTAAGCCACCTTGAATTCCTCAAGATTGTCTCCAACAGCTATCCAGCTAAACTTCTACATGTCTTCCCATATCCCATATTACTAATAATCAAACATTAAAATAAAATTTTCAACAACTTCAAAGTCTAAACGACATTTACAGCTCCGCCTGTGTTACCGCTGTCCGGAGGACTGTTGTTGTCATCGTCTGTGCATTTATACTCATAATCCCATGGCTCACCGTCTTCATCATCATCATCCTCATCCTCTTTCTTCTTATTCTTCACTGCCTTTTTCTCTATTATGTTCTTACTTAAAGAACCAACACCTCGTTTGGCTCTCTTAATCATCTTTTGCACCGTTGAACTAACGGCTTTTGACTGCCTTTTCAGTCTCTTTTCTGCATCCTCCAAAGTCAGTTGGGGTGACGGTATAGCATGCTGCTCATCTGCAATT